AGGTAAGCACTTAACAACTGTGCTACCATGGCTCCTTTCACACCCACTGCTATTAAATGCTGTTGAGTTGATTCCACTCATAACAAACTGAATAAGCACTCAGGTGCTTATCCTACAGTGTCATAACAGGACTCCTTCACATCCATTAAGATAGTCATTATCAGAAAACAGAAACTAACTAGAATGTGGAAAAACCGGAGCCCTTGTGCATTGCTGGTGGGAATGTAAAATAGTATAGTTGCTATACTATTTTACATAATGGTAAACAGTTTGGCAGTACCTCAAAAAGTTAAACACAGAATTACTGTTGTTGGTAAGTGCCATTAAGTCTGTTCCTACTCATAGCTTCCATGTATAGAGTTTCTGAGGAATGGCTGGTGGATATGAACTGCCCACCTTTTGACTAGCAGTTCACAGTGCTGATCCTATAGTGCCTTACCATATGACTCCGCAACTCCACTCCTAGGTATCTATACCCAACAGATTTGAAAGCAGGGACTCAAACAGATACATGTTCACTGAAACTTTATTCACAATAGCCAAAAGGTAGAAGCAACTTAAGTGTTCACTACCAGATAAAAGAACACATAAAATGGTAGTATCTACACACAGGACTCTTGATGTGGCACTGTAGAATTAGCACTAGACTTCAAACCACAAGGTCGGCAATTCAAACCCACCAGTTGCTCCTTAGAAACCCTATACAGGGTTGCTATGAGTCAGAACTGTTTTTAACAACAACAATATCTACATACAATGGAATGTTATTCAACATGAAGAGAAATTAAATTTTGATACATGACATGGATAAACCTAGAAGTCAGTATGCTGAGTGAAAGAAGTTATTCAAACACCACATAGGAAATACCAAGAATAGGCAAATACACAAACACAAAAGTTTATAAGTGGTTACCAGACGCAGGGAGGATGAGGGACTGGAGTTTATTGCTGAAAGTGCACTGATTTGCTGTTCGGGGGTATATAACTTAGAAACAACAGTGGTGACAATGATGGTAGCACAACATGGTGAATGTAATATCACTTAAGTGTACACTTAAAAATGATTAAAATAGCAATTTTTTTGCTATTTTTAACCACATAAATTTAAATGATGGGATTAACAGTTTCTTAGCTATCACACCAAGAGCAAAAGCAACAAAAGAAAACATAGAGAAATTAGCCTTTATCAAAATTAAAAAAGCATTTGTGCTCCAAAGAACACTAACAAGAAAGTAAAATGATAATACACAGAATGGAAGAAAAGTTTTATAAATTATATATCTGATAAAGGACTTATATCTAGAATATATAAAAAAAACTACTACAGTTCAACAATAAAAAGATAACTCCGTTTAAAAATGGGCAAAGAATCTGAATAAACTATATTCAATGGCCAGAAAACACAGGAAAAGATGCTGACCATCACTAGTTATAAGGGAACTGCAAATCAAAACCACAATAAGATACTACTTCACACCACTAGGATGGCTATAACAAAAAAAGACAGTTAATTACAAGTGTTAGTGCAATGATGGGAAGAAATTGGAACTCATACTCTGATGGTGAGAGTGCACAATGGTGCAGCTGCTGTGAAAACCAGTCTCATAGTTCCTCCAATGGCTAAACAGAGTACAATTCAGGAATTTCAATCCTACGTATATACCCAAGAAAAATGAAGACATGTGTCCACTAAAAAACATGAATGTTCACAGCAACATTATTCATAATAGCCAAAAGATGGAAACAACCAAAATGTCTATCAACTGATGACACATCCATACAACACAGTATTATTTAGCAATAAAAAGAAATGGAATACCAATATGCCCTACAATATGCATGAACCCTATGCTATGGTAGAGGGTAAAAAGATTTCATTTTCAAATTATACAAGTTTATGCTTTAATGCACAATGGGTTTCTTACTGTAGGGGGCAAGATATGTTAGTTATAGCAGGGAATCCAAAGGTTTAAACAGGAATGGAATCAACAGTCATCATCACCTCAGTCACAGAGAACAACTGATTTTTTACCAGACTTCTTCATCCCACCAGTGATATTCTTGTACTGTTTCTTGGGTGGTTTAAGGGGCTTCTTCTTGCCACCTCTGCGACTTGACATGGTGCCTGCTGCCCCTTCCCCAGACCTGCCACTGAAAGATCTATATTGTTGCTATTGTTGTTTAGTGCCACTGAGTTAGTTCTTACTCATAGAGTAACTATATGGAGTTTCCAATGAGCTGCTGGTGTGTTTGAATCACTGACCTTGTGGTTAGCTGACCAGTACTTATCCTACAGTGAAGATATATAAAGATTCTTTATTAAGTCTTATTGTTGTTAGGTGCCATCGAGTCAGTACTGACTCATAGTGACCTTATGCACAGCAGAACCAAACACTGGTAGTATTGAGCTGCTGACCTTGAGGTTCTCAGCCCGATTCATAACCACTACACTAGTAGAGCTCCTTATTAGGGGTGAGTTAATTAAATGTTTGACCCAATATAGCAGGCGAATTTTTTTAAGCTGATAATTTTGTAGGGCCCTACAATGATGTTATTTATTATAAATATCCAAATGGCCTTTGGTGTGAAAAAGGTTTCCCACCCCTAATCTAAAGCAAGCCAAAAAAACATTAGGCTATATGCGATATAAGCCAGTTGCAAAGGACCATGTACTACATTATTCCCTTTACATGAAACATCCAGAATAGGCAACTCTATAAGCAGAAAATAGATTGTTGGTAACCTAGGACTTGAAGGTTTGAGGAGAAATGAGGAGTGACTTTTGGAGTATGACGTTTCTTTTTGAGGTGATAAAAATGTTCTAAAATTGATTACAGCAGCAGTTGAAAAACCCTATGAATAAACTAAAACCATTGACTTCTATATTTTAAAAGGGTAGATTTACCTCAATAAGGCTCTTATCAAGAATTGATTATGGGGGACTTCCGGTTTGCCAGACGGCCAGACGGCACGGTGAGTGGAGAATACGGTATTGAGTCTTGTTTTGGCTCGTACTACATCATTTTCTTCGGGTTTTATTTTATATATATGTATATACATTTATATATGTATAATTTTTATTTTTTTCTTTTCCTTCTCTCTTTCTTCTATCCCCTCTCCCCCTTCTCTTTGAGACTGCTGTATCAAGTTGTGATCTCGTTGGTCCCGCATTACTTTCTTCTGGGTTTTATTTTTTCTTTTCTCTATCTTTCTTTTTTCCCTTTTTCCCATTTTTGTTTTTGCTTTTGATTCTGACATTGTTTTTTACCCGGCTGCTGTTGTTTGGCTGTTACAAGCCTCCTTTCTGCTATTGGAGGACTCTTTGTCTCCCTATTCTACAAGAGAGGAGTCAGCAACTGCTGCCAAATAGCCAAGCTACATTCACACTGTATTAAACACCAAAACCCAGGCAATAACCAATACCAGCTACCAGATACCAAGGAAACAGGCAGCACTTGTGAAAGTTACTCTGAGT